GCCGCTGCTTCCGGGAGCCGCCTGAGGTAAGCGCTGCCCGGAGCCTGAAACCCTGAGCCACTTCCCCGCACCCCAACACTCTGCCCCAGCCCTCATCCCCCTCCTCCCTTCGGTCCCAGCCCAGAGCACCCTCCTATACTGCAATCTCCTCATCCCCAGCCCCATCCCAGAGCCCACAGCCCCAGCTCGCACCCCAACCCCAATTTCATGAGCATTCATGGCCCGCCATACAATTTCCATACCCGGATGTGGTCCTCAGGCCAAAAAGTTTGCCCACCCTGGGCTAGCCGTACCCTCCCCAAAATGAACCTGAAGTTATGCTTTAACAGCTGGTAGACACTACGCAGCATATGAATAACTGATTCTAAAATGTCATCTCTAAAAGAGGTAGTGAAAAAAATACAGCTTCTTTTACCTGGATCAAAGCCAAAGGTTTCTCTCTGCTCCTGATAAGCGCAGCTTCTTGCTGGAGCTCTTCCTCTACAATAGCTGCAAATGTGATAGGTGCTATGGCAGTAGAGCTAGTTAAGGATGTCACTAACCACGGACTGCAAGGTAATACATTACAGAGTGAAGTATACCACTGACATTCTGAAACAAAAGCAGTATAAAGAACTAACAGAAAACATGCTCCAAAATCTTTCAATGTCAGAAATCAAACTTACTTCTGACTCTCCAGTTGTAGTAAATCAGAAACATGATCATCTTCTTTGATTGTGCATCTGGGAGGAAAAAAACATGAAAGTTGCTGATTCAATATCTCTTGGAATGTAACAGGATTATTGGCAACCCTCAGACTTATTCTACTGCACTAAACATGTTCCTCTCCCCACAGTAGTGCACAACTTGGAGAGGGGAATCTCAAGCCATTGGAAAAAAAAAAAATCAGTGAAATAAGTGTCCTTCGCAAATTGCAGTGTAACAGCCCACAGTGAGCACAGTTACTAAAATGTATTCCTATATTGTTCCTATTCAAATAACTACTTCAATAAGAAGCACATGGGTGCCCCAGCAGAAAATGAATTCAGACAAAAGTTCTCTTTGCACATTCACTGTATTGTAATATAGTAGCAAATCCAATATTAAATCCAAGACTTCTAGGCAGAAGGTTTTTGAGTGTGATGTAGTGGTAGAGTACAGGCTCCCAAGTTAGCTTTTTGATTACTAGAACTGTAATGGACTTACAGCACAGGCAACCTTAATTATGGCATTTCCTAATTTCTGAGTGCCTGACTTTGCAACCTAAATAATATGTAATGTTTTGTATTTAAAGATTTGAGCAATGTAACTACAATATAAGCACAGTATAATAAGCCTGTTCACAATAAATCTGGGAATGATATGATCTCCAATCCTAAAATTGTTGTCTTGAAAGAGGTGGCTGTAGCATTAAGTCAACTGCAATAGCACTAGTGTATTATTTCTCTCTTAGTATTGATTATTCAATGCCAGAGATGGTGAACCTTCAGCACACATACACAAGTATCTTCCCTCACAAATATATGATCTGGATTCTGATGAATATATATATAAAAAGGGTGTAAAAATAGGATTCATGGAATGAAACTAAACAGGAAAAAAACCATGCTCAATATCAAGAAAAAATAAATTCTGACAGTAAGATGTGTTACCCTGTATAATCTGTCAAGAGAACTCACCATGTGGCACATTTAAGTCTACACCAGACAGAAACACACTAATATGTGCTGACCAGAATAATTCTCAACTAACAGGGGAATGGAAGAGACCTAAAATGGGAAATCTAAGCCCTCTCTAAATTATATGAACCTCTGACAACATGCAGTTTAAAAGCATGGGAGAAGTATTATAGCAAGCTTTTTTTTAAATAAAGTTCAACATTTATTTTTCAAGTATCAGAGGGGTAGCCGTGTTAGTCTGAATTTATTTTTCAGTTATTCTACAGCACCCTATGTGCTTTAATGTGTTGGTATAGTCAACTCTCAATTGTTTTCATTTCTACATAACATACTGTAATTAAATAGCCACAAATTGTCAGAGTAAATTCATAGAAAAATTCCTAATAGGAGAACTCCAGTGACTGATGAGTTCTAAGTTCTCTGTCTGGGATTTCTTCCACAGAACACAATTTCATGGACAACAAGCAGCATAACTCCTATTTCTGGGAGGAGAAGGGAATTTTTTTTTTTGAGAAGTATAAATAAGCAGATAAATAAATATCATCAAAGGCTACATCCAAACTAAGTAGGCCCTGCTTTTTGACATAAGATATTGTTTCAAAATTGCCCACTAAGATCTGAATCATTTCCCCCAAAGAATAAAAATACATTATAAGAGAAACAAATTGCCTAGTGATCCAAAAAACTGTAGATCTTTCCCACTCAGACACCAGAATTTATTGATCATGAAATCTCAACTGCAACATTCATCTGAACTTAGGTGACTCACTGAGTAAGGTGAAGAAGCAACAAAAATGGGCCAACTTGAACCACAGTTAGGCTTATGAGCTGAAGGAGTGCACACTTCGTAGTCAGTTAAAACCCTACAGTCTCACAATGGACGCCAAGTTAAAGCTTGTGGTGACACCATTGGGGATGATTCCTTCAACTCAACATTCATAAAAACCTTGCTATTTCTGATTCAGTGGCTCAGCTGTAGCATTCTACATTCCTGTGTGTCAGACTTGTTTGCTCTCACTTTGGGTCTCTCTCACTCTGATCAGTCAGGAGCTGGAAGTAGGAATAGAAGATACATGCTCTAGCTGTAGGATGGAAAAGGAGAGCCTTGTGTTGCTCAACAATGCCTTCATTCTACTAAGGTAGAACACTGATGCTCTCCACAGCAAATCCTGTCCAATCTTCTGAACTGAAACAATGGTGTCTTCGATTCAGGTACTTGAGAACTGTAAAATCATTAGCGTTTTTGAGAACCACACAAGAGCATGTGGTAACTTCCTTTAAGTAAAAATTCCTGACTGACAATGCAGAAGTAGGCTTTTTGTCAGCATCATCTTTGCCAAGCTAGGGAGATGTTCAAGTATTTCCAATTCTCAGAGGCTCATTTTTTAAAATTATCTTCTATACACCTACGTAAACAGAAACCCCCTAGCCCTCTCAGAAGACAAAACCTTCTGTCAAACATGTAGCAGGTTTACACTTTGAATGAAAGTCAGATGAATGCACCCTCCTACCCCTGCCCAAAGTATTCACAGCACCACTATAAAGTAGTAAAGCAAAATCAACTTGGTCATAGCAAGTATGACTCAGTCTAGATAACAAAGTTCTTTCCAGAGCAAGACTATTTTATCACAATTAGCAGTTGTAATGTCACAGTACACTCTAGTGATCAATTAAAAGATAAGCAGAGGATAATTACACAGGTATTTAATGCACAACGATCATCTATTCCACTGCTACTGTAATTAATGAGGTGGTCAGAGATTCCACATTTTAAGCATTTTGGATCTAGGTTGTTTTAAGGATAAGAAATCTGAAATTAAATAAGTGCATATAATAGATTAACTGTGCATATAATGGTTTAACATGCTAATACTGCATCTTAAGTGGAATCAAATAACAAGGGGTTAGAAGCAGTGGTTCTCAACCTGCAGCCCATGGGCCACTTGTGGCCCAATCTGCACCCAGCTGCGGCCCATGTGACATCCTCAGGGCTATACAGGTAGAATTGAATGCAGCCCACATAACACATTGTGGGCCACATGTGCAGCCCACAATGGTAAATAGCTTGAGAACCAACAGGTTAGAGGATAGTGAAAAAGGAGTGTATGGAAGTGTCAAATCTACATGTTTTAGAAGGATTTTTGTGTGGGAAGGTTTCTAGATAAGTTCCAGGGCAACTGTTGTCTGAAATGTGTTTTAGGATTTTTAGAAGGTGCTGATTTATAGTCCTCAAGATGGATCGTCTCAGTGTATTCAAAGAAGGGGAACAGTCAGAGTGGCAGCAATGCAAACTTCCTTACGCTGTCCCATCAGTGTGACTGACCTTGAAAGACAAGAGGGTAGCTCACTCTTCAAATCCAGTCAATACCTCCTTTTAAAAAAAAGCCATCTCTGCTGAATCAGGTAACAGAAGTGCTAGTTGTGATACTGGTGATGTGACTACCTGTCCATTAAAACTGGATAAGACTATGATCAACTCATTTAATAAGGACAACTCAAAAGGCATCAGACCAGACCGTAAAGACTTTTGTTCAAAACTAACCTAGACAGGATATAGGACTAGGAACTGTAACTGAAAGGATACCTTCCTCTGAACCAAATAGTTCCCATTCATGGATCATTTTACCTTTGTTAGTATTTAATATATGGTTTAAAATAGCAACTTTCAACAATATTAAATTTTGAGAGATTCAATTACAAATTCATTTTTGAAGGGCCTACAAATTAATTTGTATTATAACCGAGTCTGCAGACCCCAACCAGGATCAAAGCCTCATTGTACTAGGAACTGTAAAGACACATTAAGAGACAAATCCTATCCCAAAGAGCTTGCAATTTGCCCAGGCCAAGGGTGTGAAAGGAAGCAAACAAAGAGTGTGACTTGACTAAGGACACAAAGCGGCCAAGACTAGAACTGAGATCTTTTAACTTCCAGCTCAGTGTCCTATAGACTGAACCACACTCTCTCTCATATAAAACCCTTCATTTTACAAAATTCGTATTGAAACTTGCTTATCAGGCTTAAACATAAATGTAATCTTACTTTTTATAGAGCTTTTATTTTAAAAAGAATACTTAATGAAAAACTAGCTACAGGTCTGTCGCATCTTATGCGCATTTAACATGCACGATTTCAGCGGTCGACAAAAACAAAAACTAAAAAAAGAGAAAAATAACAATTTTAATACTGTACCTATAGTGTGCACGATTTTGCCCACCATTCAACTCAATGTAATTTTGACTATACGCGGTTTTCGCTTTATGCGCTAACCGCGGAACGGAACCCCGGCATCAGATGAGACTCGCCTGTATGTTTAGTTCAGATTGGTAAAACCCCTTCCTTGCAAAATAAATTGACTAACTTTTGATTGCACCCTTCCTCCTTGTGACTAAAAACATTTGAACAGTTAAAATAGGGAAAGTTCAACCAATGCATCAATATTTGAACTAAACACTCTTGGCAGCTTAAATTTAAAGAAAATTCCATAAAAGTCTTATTTAGAGACAAGTCTGATGGCACATTTAAACACTTAAGTCAGTAAATGACAATATTGAAGTTATAGGTGAAAACTCAACTCTACTCCTTTGTGCATGATCATTCGCAACAGATACTTTTCTACAAGCTTAGATTCATGTGCAGCATATTTCAATGCTATATACTATGACGCAAGCCAGACAGAATAAGAAGTCATTTGTATACAAGCAGCACAGTGAATCAGGCTTGGCTCCAATGAGGCCAAACTTTCAAAATGCACCTCAGACAGTTGTAGTAAAAAAAAAAGGTATGATATTTTATTACTTATATAATAGTATGTGATCATATACTCTTGTTCCTCTTTTTAAAGTTTGCCCTTCTCCTGAAAAAGGGGAACAAAGAGCATATGATACAAAGGGGACCCAGCGAATTATAGACCAATCAAGCCTTACTTTGATACCTGAGAGATACTGGAACAAATTATTAAACAATTTGTAAGCACCTAGAGGATAACCGGGTTATAAGGAATACCCAACATGGATTAGTCAAGAACAAAGCACACAACACCAAACTAATTTCCTTCTGTGAC